TTAAAATTGTGGTATAAACATTGTTCTCTACTGTGCTGAAATATGAGCAGTTAATCTAACTAAGCATGCTCGTCGGCTATTAAATTCTATACAGAGGATGTCTCTTCTCCACATAAGCAGAGGATATCGCACATCACCAACAGCTGCATTGCAAGTACTTACACGTTTACCTTCAATTTACCTAGTAGCAGAACGAGAGGCCACTCTCTCTCGAGTCCTTTTTAAAAGTAAACAGTACCTTATGGAATTACTCTTACTATCCTGCTTACTATGAATCAAAAGTGTTAGATCTCCTTTCTCATCCAGCTCTGAATGACTAACAGGCAAGCATCAATACTAAGTTCATTAATTATCTTCCTAAAGATCTTACAATTTACGCGGATGGTTCTAGACTAGATGCTGGAACAGGAGGCGGATTATGTATTTTACAGGATAATGAGACTCTCCACACATGGAGAAGAAGACTCAATTCAAATAATTCAATTTTCCAGGCAGAGTTAACAGCAGTTAAAAAAGCAGTCCTAATCTTGAATCGATTTTCCAATAGAGTTATTTTTTGTACCGACTCACAGTCAAGTCTTCAAGCCATTGCTGGAACACAATCAAGGAGCCCTTTAGTATTTGAAATTCAAAAACTCCTGTTCAGATCTCCATTAGAACTAAGACCAACCTTTGTTGGGTACCAGCACACACAGGAATAGTAAGGAATGAGCAAGCATACAAATTATCCAAAAATGCGGCTATGGGCATACATCTACCAGAATATGCATTACCATTTCCAGGACCTTTCCTTAAGAAAGTGACATTCGTTAGTATGTTACAAGAATGGCAGTTTCGCTGGAATAACGGTACAATGGATCGCAGAACATACAAGTTCATCCCCAAAGTATCTACCGATTTATCAACGTTCTCTAATACAATCATGAATTTATAGAACTGGTCATGGACCTTTTATGACTTACTTGAATAGATTTGGCCAATCAGAGAACGACTTATGCATCTGCGGTCATCAGGGATTACCTGATCACTCTGCGTTTAATTCCGTACATACCAAAACTTTTCATCTACGGCAACCTTCAGAACAATACTGGGCAAATTGGCTTAGACAATTATTGAAATCAAAAGGAGCATTAAATAAACTTAGAAACTCTATAAAAATTTCTTACAACTTAAATACATTTTCTTCCCCTGAATCAAATTTCAATTTAGCTTGTTAATTTTCTCTTTATAATATTATTTTTCACCAGTATACTTTATATATTTAAATTGCATTGACGATTTTTTGTAGTTCATTAATATAAGTTTGTATAAAAAGCTCATAGTTTTGCCCTTTAATGATATGAAAACGTGTACTTCTTTAATTAGAACCAATGTTAACTCTTCTTCTTACTCAGGTTTCTTTTTCTTTCTTTTTTTTTTTTCTTTAAGTTAGCAGTTTCCTTGTTTATACTTTCATGTACGCTTTTTTTTTTTTTTTTTTTTTTCCCCAAAATTAAATGCACATTCCTTTTTCCTCCTTCTTACCACTTTGCAATATTTGCACAGAGTTACTAGAAATTTGCTTTGAGTATCTTTTTTTTTATTTATTATTATTTTTAAATTTATATCATAAACACCTCAAGTACTGATTTAACTGTTATAATACTTTGCATATTGCTATTGAATTCCTGCGTCAAGTATATTTTTAAATTATTATCATATTTGTCATTTTACATATAGTATAACTGTTTCATTGAATCATTTCATGTTACGCTTTATTTGCTGTAATGTTTGTAAGGTGTGTGTAGAGTAAGTGGGGCACTGTTTTAAAACAACTAATGTAATCACCTAACGCAATGTATTATCGTATTTTAGTTAACCCATATATCACCTATTTATATCCTTCTTAAATAACTATTTATGTGCTATAAAACGCTTTGCATTACTACAGTTGTTACGCCAAACAACATAAATTTAATGTGTCACTTGTAGTACTGCATTTAGGCAACATTTTAAAAACAACATTTCACATTTAGTCGTATTTAACTTACAGTATTATTCGTACTTTATCATAGCTCTATCTCATAATATTAAGGCATTATACTGTGGAATACCATTAAATTATGTATTCATGTTTCTTATCACTAAATGCACTATTATTGTACTATAATATTAAACACTGTCGTTTTGCTTATTGTCATATGTAGCATCTTATGCAAGATATCCTGTAATCATTTTAGTAAAGTACTTTTCTGTGACATTCCTGATTAAGAGCGATTAATGGCACTTGGTCTTTCAGCCAATGCCTTGTTGTGGTGGCTGCTTGTTGTTTTTTCCACTGATTAAGTATCATTCCGTTCGGTTTTTACCTTAGGTCGAAAGCCTGGTCAGTGGCGCATTACCATAATCTTTGGCACAAACACATGACAGTTCGGATAGAGAATGTCACGCTGGATCCTCACGTGCTAACTGTATTAGGTTATAATATGTTCGAGGCACAAACTTTGGTACTGATCATGTTGCTAGTTCTAGACAATTTTTTAAGTAAGAAATACAATCTCAATTACAAAATGTGCTCTCATGATTATTTATTTTAAATTGCTTCAACTGTTATTATTAAGCTTAATAATGGTTTTTCTGTTTGCCTCCGTTTTGCATTAATAAAACGATTATGAATTGTAATCTATATAATGTGATTTTACTAGTATTATGGATACCTAATTATTGCCAAACGGGGGGGGGAATTTGTACTAGATTTTGAAGATAATTTAATTATGAGGTTATTATTTTGCATTATCTTGATTAATTTATTTCATTATGTATCTATTGCGCTGTCTGAAAAGTCATGATGCATTTTTCTTACATTCTTCAAAGGTCCGTTATTTATAAAAGGAACAATGAGCGGTCGATAATAGATTTCTCGTATGCATTTGCTTTCTTTTACAATAATGAGCTTCGCTAATCCTCAAATCACAAAAGAACCAAGTTTTATTTGGGGAAAAGCTGAACAGGATGCTGATTTATGGCTTCGTCTGAATTGAATGTTATACTAGTAAAGAAATTTTGAGATAGATTCGTTGCAACTGTCCAGCTGGTGACACAAACATTCGAAATAACTTTTTGGATCGTTGGTAGGAGCTTGGAACCAAGACCGCACACAAGTTTGATCACTGACAAAAATTGTTGGAGTATGGATGAAAGGTGTTGCCACGTGTAACATACTCGCACGACCTTGTGCCATCAGATTTTTACTTATTTCGCTCTCTTCAAAATTTCTTTCGCGGTATACCATTCAAATCAAATGAGACTGTAAACCAGCACCTTGTTCAGCTTATCGCCGATAAAGCCAGGTTCTTTTGTTAAGGAGAAATTACAAAGCTCGTTAAAAGAAAGCAAACAATTATCGGGCAAAAAAGGACAATACACTATTAACTGCTCATTGTTCCTTATATAAATAAAGGATCTTTGAAGAACATAGAAAAAAATGCGTCATGACTTTTCAGACAATCCAATATTATCGGCTCATTCTGGATGCGTTTATTTCTTGAATTAATTAATTAGTAGTACTTGAATTAATTAGTAGTACTGGAGTTCAAGGATCGAATTCATAACAATTCATGGACCTATTATGAATGCATTTTTGAACTATAAATAATGACTTAAACAGAAATATAATTAATTTAGTATTATGAAACATTAGAGCGAATGGAATTTATAATATGTTATGGACTCATTACGAATAATTTTGTAGACTCTTTATGGACAATCTGCTTGTAAACATTATTGTTATATTGTGCTATTGTATGTTACTGTATTATATTTGTATTTCTGATAAGGCTCATAAGACTGAAGGCAGCCAAGTTAATATCAGGAATAAGAATATTCTTTCTAGATTATGATAGTATATATATATATATATGGATTTTTGTAGCACTATGTGCAAAGTTGTCAGTGTAACAAACCTTGCTACTGTGTCATTACTACTAGATTATGATATTACGTATATATGTATTATTTGTAGCACTACGTGCAAAGCTGTCTATGTAACAAACCTTGGTACTGTAATTATTTCTTTCTGCTATCGAAGAATACAGATATTCCTTCCGCTCATCCGGCATTATTCCGTTTGGTTACTACCTTCAGTCGGAAGCCCGCTCAGCAGTTAAAATAAAATAAAAAAAAAAAAAAAAAAGAAAATCTGAAAGTTTTCAGATTTTAAATAACGACCAAAGGGGCTTTTTTTTTTTAACATTTTGTGTGTTACCTTTATTTATTAAATATCGTGTTCTTCGCATTTAAACCATAAAATTCAGTTCGAGATCAATATCGCAAAATAATTTTAAAATGAGCCTATCTTTAGAATTTCCGATACAGAGTCTTGCGCGCTGGAGATAAAAATGCGTTTTCTGTACAACGTTGCCATGGCTCGCTTTGAAATCCTTGAGTTTGTTAATCGAAAATTCATTAAAGTTTTACAAAATATAAAATTGATAATAAAACAAATTTCAAATTTGGGCTTCCATATGCTCATATTCGTAGTAGGATTACGTCATTCAAAAATGGATGGCTCTAGGTACCGTTGTTTTATCACAATACGAGAAACATACATACATTTATGCAGATTCTTCGTTATTTAACTTCTTCAAATATAATACACGGCAATAACATTTGGTTGCAACAATTTGAAAAGTGGAACAACGCTTGTAGTGAATCAACGCAAAATGCCAAAACGCACTTAATAGTCCTTCTCGGCAAATTGCCCCTTTGGACTAATAAATAAAATATTCATGTATCTTTATTGCGCAGAAAAACAAAATTAAACTTAAAAGGTAAAATACTTTTAGCATATACGTATAAATTCCCTCGAAGACTGATATATCTATTATAAAATTCTTAGATTTTTATTATACTCTTCTATTACTTAAGATGCACACTATTGACCGTAATGCCTTTAAAATACATTTGCTTCAATTAAGTATTTATCACACAAATATATAAAATTTGATTCCTTTGGATGATAGATCAGCTCTGGAGCAACGCCATCTGAACTTCACTGGTCGCTTATTCCCCATCTTCGACATCTATAACCTGGTTCCGTCGACGGGACAAATGCTCCACCGAGTAGTAGACGACGAAGAGATAGTTCCTCGCCGCTGGAAGAGGATCGGCAATGTGACAGGAGGTCGTGTGTCACTCAATGCTGTTGTCTGGCTGGGAGGAAAAAGAGTCGGACCTCCAGAACATGGTCGACAGCGCTTTCGCGTGGTAACTGCCTTTGCACCACCTTTCGTAATGCCTGCTACTAGAGTAGAGAATGGTTCCTGTCTCCTCGGATTGCCTTGTCTACAGGTAAAATATACAAACATTATTTAAAATATTATTTCCAGTCTTTACTGTATCTAACTGAATATTATGATTTAAATCAAGATCTGTACCTTTCGAAGCGGCCAAGATCTCAAAAGAAACTATGGTATCCCTTCATAGTTTCCGGTAACTATGCAAGTGGTATTGTGAAAACACTCAATGATAACAGACGCAAATGGTATTCTATTCCTTATCCATAACCTGCCCTTCTACCCCGAAGAGGTTGAGGCACTACTTATCGCGATTTGGGTATCATATTCACAAACCTCGATCGCTGCTATGAGTTTGCATAACATATTTCAGAAACCCAAAGTTCTTATTACCCAAAGTTAGGCGAAAGCTTGAGAAAACTGAGTTCATCAACTGAAATATCGATTGCGGGTTAATTAACAAGACCCTTAAAAGATATTTGCCCTAAAACTGTGCTGATATAGATTCACATAGGATATTTTCGGTGAAGACAAGTGTGTTCATTTCCAATGGATATTTTAAATCTAAAGATTCCATCCTCTAGAGCAGGGTGCACCAAACTTTTCAGCCAGCGGGCTATATTGGCTCTTTCGCGAAGCTTCGAGGGCCAAGATCCAGTTAATTCATCATACCACAGCGACGATATATACCCACTCTGTTACCCGGCTGGGTGAGCTCAGTTTTTTTATTCTTATATGTTGGTAAACTTTGCATTTTTTCCCTTTAAAAGTGACTGAATTGTGTTTTTCTTATATTCCGTTTAAGGTTTGTATGAAATTAGTTAATCCACATGCAATAGTTATAGAATTATCAAACATTTAATTGTTGTTTAAGGGCTACTAAGCTTAATGAAGCCGCCATTTGTTCACATTTTAAACCCTTGTTTGTTTGAAGATGTTTTGAGTATTTATGTATTTTTCCCTTGCCGCAAAGTGTTAACTGGAGTGATTGAATGAGAAATAAATCTCGAATGAGATTCGAGGAAATAAGTTTAAATTAAGTGCGGCAATAAGGATGTATTCATAGGACGTATAAGAACGTCATGTGTGCCGACATGAGATTGTCTATATAGAGTGTTACTGTACTTCGCTTATTGTAAATTTAGAAACGGTATATAATTAAGACACAATAACACGCCGAACAAATACTAATTCAGAAGTCAAAACAACAAAAACCAGCTTTATATTTTCAAATTAGAAAATATAACGCTGATATTTGTTGTTTGACTTCTGAACGGTATATAATGTTTATAATATGGTTTATAAAGGATGTGCATGATAGGCAATACATTTTTAGTTGGGCTGCTATATAAAATAATTAATGCGTGTGTTATTTGTTAGAGTTTAAATTTTATAAAATTATTTGTATAAACCTCTGGCGAGCCGGATCATTAGTACTCTCTGGCTGTAGTTTGGAGACCTCTGCTCTGGGGCATCTTCTACAAGAATTCTTTTTTTTTTTTTTTTTTTTTTTTTTTTTTTTTTTTTTTTGTTATTTCCTAAAGCAAATAGGTATTTTACGCTACTAGTCAGAGTAAATGCTCATTTTTTAGTGTTCACGTGGCACATGGAGAAGGCCAAGACAAAACCCATAAAATCAGTTCTTTCTACATGACAGGACAGGAAAAAGTGCAGGGAGCACCACAATATCGTCATAGACAAAAATGGTATTGCCCCACTTTACTGCCATTTATTGAGTATAAAGACAAAAGATTACATATCATTACATATACATTACACTGATCACATAATAAATTACATAAAAGTAACAAGTTATTTAGATAAGAAGAACAAACATATAAATAAATTGGGGTACAGGTAATCGAGGTACAGATATATTCGTATACAGGAATCAAGATGCAGATAACATGTTACAATTAATTAAATGTTACAGTTTGACACTTGTTCTTACACCCAAAGTTCTTATTACCCAAAGTTCTTATTACCGTGCTTGGAGGAATACATTAGCATTTGGGAAGATGGGTGTAATGCTAGTTATAATGCTATGTTATTTTTGTATTGATGGTATCGTTGTGTGATTGTGCACAGAGTTCATTGTGCATAGAGTTCAATGTGCTCAGAATTGTGCGCAGCAATATGGAGAGCACTTTGCATTATGAGCATCAGATAATAATGTAAAGTTAAAAGTTCATAGTGTTTTTTCTACAGTTACAGTAACACGTATATGGGACACCAAGACATCGTCATTGACAAAAATGGTATAGCCCGCATACACTAACTAGCTAGAGAACTGCACTCCCATGGGCACATGAGTGCCAAGCTTTGGGTCTTTGTTGGATACTATTAAAAGGCTGCATTTTGTATAATAGGACAATAGTTACATAAGGTTACACTTCATTTGTGGGCTCATGGTACTTGTGCACAGAAAGATAATTTGACAGAATACTGGGAATTGGTTATGTAAATAAGCATAGTAATTAAATTAAATCCATAATTTGAAATGCTAACAGAGTACGAATTACAATACGACAATACAAAATACAAAATACAAAAACCAGTGTGCATTGAGAGAATTACATATTTATGAGGTTGGTGCTTTGGTATTGTGCATGTTTATGCATATGTAGTCTTAGGGTTCAAAGTTCAGTTCGTTGAATTGTGTGCACTAGTAGTTCAAATGTCAAGATCGAGTCTAGTTCGTTGGAACATGTACACTTTTGTTTTGTGGTTTGATTTATGGGTTCACAGTCGGTTCATTCGTATTTTAGATGTGTATTGCAGAAACTGAAGGCACTCCCTTGGATGAATGACTTCATTCTTTTTACTAGCTGGCGATGTCTCTGTGGTCTTGAAGGTAGTAGTTTCACTTTTATGGCTGGCATAGTCAAGTCCGTACTGATGGAGCTTGTCTGTAATTGCCTTAATATTGCTGTGGATGTTGTGATGCTTAATGAGGGATATTTCAAATTCATTTTCGTTGTTGGGAGGATGCTTGATATGATGGCTGTAAGTCAGCGGACAATGAAACAGGCAATGATCTGCATCACCCCTTTCACATGTCCATTGTTGACAGATTTCTCTCGTATGTGGAAGTATGTGGGGAAGGGGCCGTGTCCTGTGATGTATCGGGTCAGGAAGTAGGGAGTGATGGTGCATGCTTCGTCTACTTTTTGAAGGAAGCTATAGGTTCTTCGTCCTTACGGACAGTCTCGCCATTGGCCCTGCCATTTTTCTAGTACCAGCTGTTTAATCTTGTATTTGAGGTCCGATTGTGCCCATGGAATTTGAATGCTGTCACCTTCTTGCTTTGTTGCTGCATCTTTTGCGAGGGCGTCCGCTCTCTCTTTTCTCTAGCAGTCGTTATGACCCTTGGTCCATGAGAAAACAAACTTCCTGTTGTTGTTTCTAATGACGTTTTGAACCGTATGAGCGATGGGCGAGTTAGGGCACTGGCTTGTGATTGAGAAGATGGATGCTTGACTGTCTGTTATGATACGTATAGTATCTGTTGGGGCTCTGAGGAGGATGTTGGTACTATTGAGAATGGCAGCAAGTTCAGCTTGACTTATGCGTTCTCTCAGATGACCTTACAATTCACTGTACAATCCTGTTGCTGTTCTGATGGTCGCAGCGCATCATACTTTGCTACTGATTTTGGACCCATCTGTGTAGGCATGATAATGTGTTGAAGAGGGTGTGGATCTTTTAGGTTGCAAACTAGATTGCTGAGTCCATCTGCAGCGTCTGTAAGAAATTTCTTAGGTTTTGTTTCGTAACCTGTGAGGAGAAAAAGTACATCCTGAAACGTGACTGGTTTCTGTAGCTGGAGAACGGCTGCGATTGCTGCGTCAACTTCTGCTTGGATGGGCAGTGGAAGAACTCCTGACAAAATCTGCAGTGCAATCGTAGACGTAGTGTTAAAGGCTCCTGTAAGGTTGATTAAGAAGAGCCGTTGTATTGAATTGAGTACTCTTATTTTTCTGGATGTCATCGGAATTGTCCATATTGCAGCACCGTAAGTGATGATTTTATTAACAACTGTCTTTAGTAGGATCTTCATAATGTGCTTGTTTAGTCCCCACGCGTAGCCTCTCATAATTTTGAGAGTTTTGGCTATTTTGCAGGTTGTGATCTTTTTATCTTGAAGGTGCTGAATCCAAGTAAACTTTTGATCGATTGTTAGACCGAGGTATTTGATGGCTGTCACGCATTTTGTTTTATTATTTTCAATTTTTATGATGAGGTTGCGGGTGATGGTGCGTCCTGGTTTCTGGAAAATTAGGGCCTGGGATTTTGTGTGAGAAACTTGCAACTTGATCTGTTTGCATAATGTGTTGAAAATGTCCAGCGTTTGGTTACAGTTATCTTGTAACTTGTCTCTTGTCGGACCGCTTATTGTGAATGCGACATCGTCGGCAAATGCTACTATGTTTTGTGTGCAAAGGCCAGGGGTGATCGATTACTTTTAAAGGTGATGTTTCAGAGGTCCGCGCTCATACACGATCCCTCTGGGCATCTTCATGTTTGCTTTCGGGTGACTATGGAGTTATTATAGTTGATGAAGCTCTTTCTGTTAGTAAGATAGTCTGAGGTGAGTTCGAAAAGATTTTTTGGGCAGTCCATCTCTCTGGGTTCTGTTTAATGGCAGGCCACCAGAGAGAGTCGAACGCATTTTGTAAGTCCAAGCAGAGAAGGGCTGTACGCAGTTGATTGCTTTTATTTGTTTGGACCTGAGAAATTACAACGTCTATTGCGTGCATGGTTGAACAGTGAGGTTTAAAGCCATATTGATGCTTGCTTATCTTGATAATATGATAAACATGAAATATAATCCTGTAAATTAGCAGACGTTCGAGTAGTTTGCCCAATGCTGGGAGTAGATTTATGGGGCGGTATGACCGAGGGTCCTCTGAAGACTTGTTCTTTTTTGCGACTAACACAATTTGCCCACTTTTGAAACTTTCTGTAAAGCATATCAGACAAAGACAATGGCTGTAGTTTGTTAATAAGTGTTCCAGACTGGTCTTCCAGATGATCTTGATAATTTGATTTTTG